TTTCCCTACTTCCTCACATTGGAGACATTCCTGTTTCTGTTCTCTCTTGCCCTTGCAGTACTGCATATGTGCAGGGGTGTGTGTATGTACCTCCTTCCTCTGCTGCCACAGCCCCTGGGGATTCACAGGGCAAAACCTGCTGCTGCAGCACCAAATCCCACAAAGAGCCTTTGCTGAGCGCGGGGAGCTAGGCTGTGCTGGTCTGGGTTCAGCCATGTCCTGCACCTCCTGCTCTAATTACTGGGGAAAGGATAAAGTGACATTCGCTTGGCATTTTCTTGGTGATGGTACAGGGTGTGTGAGTGCTGAAAAGCGGCAGTGGAAGATAGGTGGAGGGGAGGGAGGGAGCAAGCAGAAAAAACGGACAACTTTCTTGGGAGCAGGCAAGCATGTTGCCTTCCTGGGAAGTGGGCAGAGCTTGTTTTGAGGCTGCATTTTCTCTTGTGGGAATTGGTTGAGGCCTAAACCCAGCCTTGGCAGAAGCAGCTGTACTTTCTGTTCGGAGTTGTTGAGAATGGATCCCAACTAAGATGTCATCCCAGGATGTCGGCAATTAACGCTGGCTGTTTTCTGTTCAGCCAGGCTTCCCTGTAGGCCATTCAGATTTCCCTGGCAGCACTGTCAAACAATCCCTGTCGGTCCCCAGCTCTGCGTTGATTCTCAGTGCTTTGCTTCTGTTTTAGCAGATATCTCAGAAGAGAATAAAGCTGATTTGAATTTCCTGAGTTGTGGTTGCCACTCTGCGGGTCACGCTGCAGTGCTCTGGCTCGTTTAGAAAGGGATCAATGACTTGTAAGAGCCTCAGAGCATCCCTCCCACATGCTGAGAGGAAAATGGGACAAAAACATCCTTTCTTTGAGGAAGGAAAAAGCTGAACCTCCTTTGCCCTGGGCTCCTCCAACCTCCTGCTCAGGCTGCCCTTTCAAGGGAGGAAGAACAGCCCCTCAACCCAAGCACATCTTTGCTGGCTAAAGATGGGGTAAAGCTGTGCATTGCCCCAGCTGAGAGTCTGCACTGGTTAGGGTGGGGTTTTTTTGTGTGTATGTGTCCCCCTTCAACATCAATACTTGCAAACATTATAAAACAGGCATGCAAATTAGGCTGCCTTAGGCCAGTTCGTTTCCATGAGCCCCCCTTGATATCCAAGGGATGCCAACAGAGCAGCACTTCTTCCCCTGAGGAAGTGCTCAGCAAACCAGCTGAGATGCAGATGACAAGTCCCTTTCCTCCTCCCCAGGCTCTGCGCACCGTCAGGAGGACCCAACTGTGTCTGTGAGCGGGGGCCCTGGCTGCAGGGATAGAGAAGCACATTCCACCAGAGCCTCTGCCTGATGGAGTCCTTGAGGCACCCTGGGCTCCTCTACTCCCTGCTCAAGGGCAGGTTTGGTGGCTCTCCCATGCTTCCCCTATCACTGAAATGAAAAATAACCATGCTAACAAGTTAAACCTCCCCATGCCAGCTGATTTGGGTCCTCACAGAATGCCACGGAGGGCTCCCAAAGGAGCTACGTGCTAAATCTCGCTTAGACCATTGTTTGCATATGTAGGATTGGATATATTTTATTTCTTTTTCCACCACTTCTATTTCTGGGTGACACAACTAGTTTTTTGTTTAGGATATAACAAAAGAAATCCCAGCAGATTTATTATTTCTCAGATTTTCCCATTATGTTTTCATAGAAGCCAGTTTTCCCTGACACTGGAGGAAGATCCCAACAAGGAATAGTCTTTCAGGGAGAGAGGCAGAAGGAAAGCAGTCTCTTGAATGCTTAAAACTAAGTCAGGACCTCTCTGGTTCTGCCCCAAGCCATGGGCTTCTGCCTCTGCTCTTGGGCCAAAGAGCCAGACTAGGGATGTGATGCAGCAGCAAAAAAAAAAAAAAAAGGAATTGGCTCAAGCGAAGGGGTAGGAGCACACGGAGGAGGGTGGGACTGTAGCCACTGCGAATTACATCAGCTTAAACTGCTGTGCAACCGCACCCTGAGCGCCTGTGCTTATCTTTGAGCTGCTCAAATCCTCTGCTGAATGGTCACAAGAACAGGCAATGCTCTTTCTAGGGCGCAGCGTGCACAGCTGGGCAAGGGGAGAAACATATGTGGGATTTAGTCTGGAAACTGCTTCTTAGGGAACAGATTTTGCAAAGCACTGGATGCTCCCACGGTCTCTTGACTCCAGTGGCAAGGTCAAACTGGAGGGTAGTAATACAGAGATCCGCTCCCATTGTGCATAACACAGCTCTGCTCCTTCCTCAAATCTCCAAAGCTTCTGTCCTGCAAGCAGTGGGACTTCGTCCCTACTCTGAGGTGACCCAGTTGATGCAGTGAGATGGAGATCTTGCTGGTGCCGCGGGGCGGTACCAGAAGTGACACCCCTTCAGAAGAGGGGGAAACGAGCCGGATTGATTCGGTGCCAGAGGACAGGTGACAGCGGTTAAGAGCAGCCCTTCCTCGGTGTAGCTCAGCCCTGAGTTTGTTCAGCTCAACATTACCCCCTTGTGGGACATAGGTGGAAATTCAGACTAATGCCAGTTCCCCTAGCAGGTAGGTGTCCTGTGGAAGTTTTGGCTGTAGCTTAGGCCAGTCTTGCAGGCAACAGATGCACATGTCCTTGAGAAAATGCATGGTGTCTGAGAGTATCCAGCTGCTTGTGGTTGGTGTGCGACATGTTCCGAGACCCAGACGGTGGTTATGTGCTTGCAAAGTCCAACTTGCAAGGGAGGGAGTTTATGTAACACGTTGCTGATATAGAGAAAACTATGCAAAAGCTTTGACATTGCGCACAGACCCGTGTTTCCGTGTGCGTTTGTCCTTTACTGAATACCCCAGCACATTGAAAAGCAGTGGTTGTCTGGGCAGTTTGCAAATGATGAACTCTTGTGAATGATGAGTCTCTCTGTGAGCTGTTTTCATTGTGGGACTTCTTGGTAGCTTAGAAAGAGAACTTCAGTTTAGTTATTCAGGGGTTTGTTATCATCAACATATAACAGGTAGACTGCCAGGCTGTGCTTCATAGTGAGTGTATAATGTAGTGTCATAAATACTTGGAGTTGGTGTAAACCAGAGCTAACACTGAAAGAAGCAACCCTGCATACCCCAGGCCATTGATTTCCACCTCTGTCTTTCCCTGCTTTGCGCCTGCCAAGGCTGTGTAGCGAAGCAGTGGGGAAGGGGTAGGAGTTCAGACTAACTGCTATGCAAAAGGTTTCAGACCAGCTCCCTGATTTGGCTCAATATGCAGTCACTGTTAGCTGATGTATCAAAGCACAGGGGCCAGAGTCGAAACTGGACGTGAAGGGGGCATATGCAGGAGCTGCCAAAGGTTGGGTGAAGCAGGATGGGTTCCAGTTCAGGTTCAAGACACACCCAAAAAAGTCTTGGGGTTTTGGATCTTTTCAAGCAGGAGAGAGTTGACAAAGGGATTGAGACAGATGGCTCAAACCTGAGTGGAGTGAGTGCCAAATGTGCCTGGGATGACCTCAGTCGGCCGCCGGAGGATGACGAAGACAGCAGGAGCATTTGCATTGGGACCCAGCCACGACGGCTCTCTGGGAAAGGTAAGAGGTCCTGGACCGAGTCACTGCCATGGCCTTTCAGTTCGTTTTCGGATGGGTCTGGGTGGTGGGCTGAGTCATGCAGCATCTCAGGATTCATAACGAACACCACAGTTAGTGGCAGGCTCACTGTCTCAGGGGAGCGAAATTAATTTTGGTGTGGCCTGTTTGAGGAAGGCAGGAGAGAGGAAAAGAGATCTTTTACTTGTTTTGCCTAAATGTGTCTTTCAGTTTTTAGATTGCTTCTAATCTTAATCTGAAAAGTTAAATTGAGCACTGGATGAAACTGGAACTGTGAACACCTGCAAGGTGAAGCAACTGCATTTTCCCAGGCTGTGTTTCCTTATTAACATTGTCACTTCTTGGGTGGCAAGTTGGACTGACGCTGCATGTTGCTGTAGTTGGTGAATCAAGTGATTCTTGCAAATACGGAACTCTGGAAAGAAGAAGTAAGATACGGTGGAGTTCCCCTTTGCAGTGAGATGCCATCTCAGGGTACAGATGTAATAGCCATTACAGATGCTTGAAATTATGCCTGTACCTTTCAAATGGGTGAAGCAACATAAAATTTGAGGGCTTGAGATTTCCTGGAATTAACAGTGGTTTCCACAGGAATGGTATCTTACTTGTTTTTGAGTTCATGATAAAAATATATTTAAATGCATATAGGATTCCTTCTGGCTTCTGGGCAAATATTTTGAATTGCCCTGGATCTAAAAAGGCTATTTTCCCTCAGGTCTGCAAATGAATAGCCCAGGACAGGTATACATGGTGATATTTGTATATCCTTCAAAATATTTTGAAATAATTTGGATATTTTTTTCTCTACACAATTCCCACATTTCTCAAAAAAAAAAAGATGAGGAAACTTGTAAGAAAGGTAGGAAAGCATCCTATTAAAGTATTTGGCGATTAGACATAGGAAAATGGAAAAGTAATGACTGCATCTGAACTGCATAATTTGCAGTTTATTTTCAAATGTGAGCTTGAGGCTAAAGTTTGCCCTGTGTAAGATTCCTTTCTTTTGTGAATGTTGTTGTAAATTAATCAACAGATTAGCAAAGCCAATTGCAAGAACTTGGGAACCTCCTTGCGCTCGTTTGGTAAAGGAACAAATACCCGTTGTGCCTAATGGGAAAAGTGACTTCCAGCACAAAGGCTGGAAGTGTCAGGAGGTTCTGTGAAAGCTGCAGAAACAGCAAACACCTCATTTATGAAAGGATACAAAACTACTTAGAATTTCCTCATCAGAAGGGCTCAGTCCTTCAGTTCCAGCTTTCCTTGCCTGATGTAACATCACAGCCCAAACCAAGAGAATTCAAGCCGACTTTATGAAAGTGAAGTAACTCCTCAGGTGCAGGAAGAGCTGTTAAGAATTCACCCTTAGCATCTCTTCATTTCTTTCTGAAAGGGAAGAGTTTAGATGAAACAGGTCTTTAAAAAAAAATAAGCTGACATCTCCTTGTGTCTGTAATGTTTCTGAGGACTCCAAGTCATGTTAAAAAAATTTTTTCTTTGCAGATACAGAGCAAATCAGGGAGACTTTGCGGAGAGGGCTTGAGATTAACAGCAAACCTGTTCTACCTCCAATAAATGCACAAAGACAGAACGGGTTGAACCACGACAGAGCACCGTAAGTTTCGCTGTGCACACTCAGATGGTGGGAGGAGGGAGGCTAAAGAGCTCGAGGCGGGGGGAAGTTAAAGCTGGGTGGGAAAAGATTTGGCAAGGGGAGAGATTTTGAGAGGGATTTTAGACAAACCTTGCTAATGCAGAGTGGCTCTAACTGTGTTCTGTAGGACCTGCTTCTCACGATGTACAGTGTTTGAAATCAGACTGGACTGAGCCCTATAAAATGTACTGTGGCAAATAGTGCTATGGTATCCGAAGAGCTTGGTGGCATTGATGAGCATTAGCTGATATTTTTGCCTGAGCATTTTGTTTTCAAGCTCATAATTACAAACCTTTTAGTTAAAATATTGATTTTTTTTTTTTTTTTTAAGTGACTTTGATCTTGCCTTGCTTAAGCAGGAAGATACTGGCAGTAATTACATGCCAATACCACCCAGTCTCTAATAGTCTGTAGGCTAACAGGTGTTTTAAGTGGGACTAGGAGGGCCTGTAGATCTCTTCTCGTTTGTAACTTTTGACTTCAGTGAATCTGTAGGAAATTACCTGTGGTTTCAACCATCTGCAGTATCTGCACTTCCATCTTTTTGGGTTTCTCCCGTTCCCCTCTTAGGCTTATTTCAGTTGCTAGTTGCATGTCTTCCCGTCAATTTTAATGTTTTCATCTAAATGATACAGAAAGGCATGCGTCTTTGCCTCACTCTTTCATCTTGGTATTTCCTTTGGTTTCCTAGTCTCTGATGAACATTTGTGCTTTCTTGTTCCAAAAGTAAAGATCATCACGGAATCAGCTTTTTCCTGTAGTGCCAGGCAGGGACAGCATCCTGCGCTGTTTCAACTCCCGTTTCTTTCTTGGTTCAAGCATTTCATGAAAAAAATATTCCTCATACTTGGTTGGGACCCTGATGTCTTTTCTTGTACCATTTTGTGGGTGACTTCTAATTCGCCTTATGTATGAATGTTTCTGAGTTGCCTTTGGGAGAAGTATTATGCCAATTGCTGATATTGTGTACTAATCGGTAATATAAGATATTGGTGCTTATTAAAAAAAAATCTCAGGTGGCTTCATTATTGCTTCAGGAATAATTTTACTTTTGCTATGTAGTAATTACATGGAGCCAGATTGTGTCTTGACTCAGATTTTGAGTAGTACTTCCCTGCCTGAAGGCTGGTCCCACTGGACCATTGGCTGGTCCCATTGGCCCCACTGAACAAATAAAATTATACCGTCTGATTTGCAGGAATCGCAGCCAGGCTTGGAAGGCTCAAAAGTATTGAGCAGGATTTCTCACAGATGCTGGGCCCCTGCATGAATCTGCATGCCCAGTAAAAGCTCTGAGTTCATGGTGGTTGGGGACGACCAGAAACATTTGGGGTGCGCATCAGGTCAGGGAGGCAGCTGATGGTAAGCCTTAATGCTGGGAGGCAGTTGTTGCTTAGATAAGAAATGTTTACATTATTCAGGCTAAGATAAACAGAGAATACGCTCAAGACAGAGTGGTGAAAGGTTAGCAGAGGTCTAAGATGAAGCACACAAATATTTACCTGGGTTTTTAACTGTTCTGAGGCAGACAGGCAGGCAGGTCAAATTCAGAGCCTCATATCCATGACAGTGCTCTTTGTTGCAAATCTCTCTTACCTGTAGCAGCTGTGCACCCACCCTACCTGAAGCCTGAGTAGTAGGAATGGCTGGTTCCCAGTGTTTGCCTCTTAGAAGATCGATACATTTCTCTGAGGTCTATGGTTACCACTGTGGAAACTGATAGCTAGCCTGTTTCTCCGTAATAGCAATGCAGTTAAGGAAAGAGAGCTATCAGCTGGGTCTTGCCAGCCTTTACTTTGGTGATAGTATCGGAGGAATAGAGGAGATCTCCTCAGCTTGAAACAGCAGTGTGTCCTAATACTTTCTTCCTCCATCTTACTGTCTGCTTTGAGAGGAGTTTGGAAAAGGTCTTTTTCTACTTGTGCAGTGGCTTCTCTTCTCCAGTTCATGTAGCAGATACAATGGGACTTGTTCGATGCACTGACCACACTGAGAGGGGTGGTTAGTGCCAGAAAGCAGTGTTTACTCGCAACCTCTAACTAACTGGTACTTAAATCAGACCTGATGGTTACCCTTACTGTGGCTAAAACTTATCAGTCAACATATTTTCCAGCACAGTGTGGTATAGATGAAGCACAAGAGGAAGATCTTATTAAGTCTCAGCCTTTTTTAATATGCTGTCTCAGCATGTCTTACGCATTTGAGCAAAGTTGCTCAATGTCCTATAAAGTACATGAGCATGATCTGGAGACTCGTCTCCAGCTGCTGCAGAGGGACGTAACTTAGCAGTTCAGCTTTTGCATGTAGTAATATATCTACATCCGTGTTCCTTACAGGTGCTTGCAGTGGCAAAGGCTGAGACATGAAAGGCACAAAACCCAGTGCAGATATAGTAATTTCATAAGACTTGCAAGCACCTGAGATGAAGGACAGCTCTGCACATAGATCTAGTCCTTCTGGTGCAATCCTTGCTTGGGCCTGCTAGGGCTGGGACTCAGTTCTGTCCTTCACTGTAAATCTTGTGTAATCAAAGGCAAGTCATTTAGCTATTGAGCTTCAGTTCTGAATCTATAAAATGGGACTAATAACAATGTCATCTTCTTGAGGCACCACAAGGATAAATATGTTAACGATTACGAGGTGCTGGCTGATGGGAAGCAGGCTTGTGTGTAATCATATCCTGCACTGTACACACCAGACCATAAAATACCAAACCCGTGGTTTGTTGCAAGGGTCCTGTGAATAACTGGTGCGTTAGAGGTTCCTTGGGAACTTGACAGAAATGCTTTGTTGGGGCATGGCAAATTGATCCAAATCTACTTTCCATAGGGAGCACTGCAGAACCCCAGGTCGTCAAGTTTGCACCCAGCTGACATTAGGATGTTGAAGTCTGACACAGACTCCCAATGGCTTTGTACAGAAGAAGAATGTGCTGTTTATTTATCATAGATTTGCAGCCACCAACTGCTTTCCTAGTAGCTTTCTTCCCTTTATCCTAACCCTACCACCCACACGCAATAATCTATCAGGGTTTAAAGCAGACAACCTGTTCTGCGTTCAGCATCACAAAATAGTATCAGAAACACTCAGACTTTCAAATATTCATTTGTATAAAATGTGGAGGATCCAGATTCCACACAGACTTCTGTGTCTTTGTGTAGCTACAGTTTTCAGCACTTATGCAAAAGCCTCACATTGTTTGGTTGCAGATAGGACTTGATTCAGTGTTCTGGCTCCAGCAAAGCACATACTTACATGTTAAGCATGCATATTACCAGTTGTTCACTGTCCCGGAGTCCTAAAAAAAAAGTTCCTTTAAGAAAAAGCTGTTTTCTGTCAAAACCCTGTTGGGCAGCTGTAGTACTTTGATTCATTAGTGTTATTACTGTAGACTGTGTAGCCCTTTTTCTCCTAAGGATATGAATAAAAGCACTTTTAGTGCTTAAAACTGGATCGGACATCTGTTTCTCAAAATGACTGTTAGCTCAGTTCATAAGCAGCCGTTAAATCAGTTCATACGCATTAAACAAAAGAACACGTAAATTAATCTTTGGAAACATGACTAATCATTTTGACCATAGGTAACATAATACTCTTGATTACTGCTTGGAAAAATGAGGCGTGTATGAATACAAATGTACTTTACAATGGCGCATTATTTATTTCTTAGAACCATCAGCTTAGTAATAGGTGCTGCTCAGACAGACAGAAAGACAAGGCTCCCAGGCTCCTCAACTGTGCAGATTCACTCTTGTTGGGTATGGCAAGCTGTTACCCATAGGGAATGTTTAGATGTCAGACTAAACACTGCTGCTGCTAAGACCTCAGTGGGTTGGAAACTCCAGATGTCAGAGTTCAGTGACACTTGTGGAGTCTTGCTTCATTCTCTATTTAATTTCTTGATGTAATAAGTTCTGGGGCCAAGTCTTTAATTGTCCCTGGCAATTAGCTCTGTGCTGTGCTGTGAGGTAGGTGAGTAGTATCTCCACTTTACAGATGAGGACAGAGGAGTTAATTTGCCACAGTCACAGTGAGAGCCAGGGTTGGGACAGGGGAATTCTTGACCTTTTCCACCCCTCAAGGGTCCCCTTGATCATGCAGTGTTGCTGAAAGTGATGTTTTTCTGCCCCTTGGCTGACTCAGACCGTTCTACTGCTCCTGTCAACTGAGGCATGGAGTAGAAACTAGAGCTAGCACGCTGCATTACTGTGCATGTTGAGGCTAAAATTATCAGTAATTGCTGCATTTCGTTGTGCCAGGACTCAGGTAATGCCTATGTGCATCCCCAGTATCTGAAGGTGAGGCCTGAGTGATGGAAAAAGGTCTCCCAAGGCTGTGTTACTTTGACAAGCCTTTTCTAGCAACTCTCTGATGTTTATTGCTTTCCCTCTTCTCAAGGAAGATAAAGCAGTGTGGTTCAACATCCCCGATTCCCATATTTCTGTCTGGGATTTCCCAGATAACTGTGCGTTTGCTAGTCCCCTCATGCACCGCAGTCATGTGTCCAGGGACCCACAACGGATGCCCCAGAGACCCCAAACCCCATCTGCATTCAATTTCCAGGCAGAAACACAGGTTGAGTCTAGGGAAACCTGAACATATGGTAGCTCTGTGCCTGTGTGCTAATTCCATCCAGCCCTGAAAGGTTTCCAGCTGTGCAGGGAAATGAAGGCAGGTTCCTGGCAAACAGAGCAGGGAACAACCCTCCGGCAGGTGGGGCTGGCAGGACTGTCCTGGCTGTGACCTTCTGGTGCACTGCACCCTGAGCATCTCAGGTTCTTGCCCTTCCCTTCTGGGAAGAGGGAGGAGTTGTGTCATTCCAAAAGTCCTCCTAGGATAACCCCAGACTGTCACACGTGTGCCTGGTTTGGGGTGCGTGAGTAACGGTGGCACCACTAGCAGGACTGGACTCCACTGCCCGTGTAGTTCCTCTGACTTGGTAAATAGGGCATGCTGATTTC